ATGTTTAACCAAATGAAAAACAGTTAATTAACGGCGGGGAGAAGAATAGGAATTACAGAGGAGAGAAAAGAACGAAGACAAAGAGAATGTTATATAAATGCCACAATCACCGAGTAATAAGTTGTTCAACGAGCGTTTGCGAAAGATGTTCGAAATAATTTTTGTACAGTTTTGGCACACACGAGAACGTGCAACATCGTCGTCTTTATATTTATGTACAACATTCAATTATTATAAATTTTCGATATTATTACAAACTATGATCGATTTCGTGTGAAAGTGTATATGGCTTTTTCTGCGGTTAACAATAAAATGTTGTCAAAGCTTTTTCACGAGATATATATACATACATATTTCACTCAAACGTTTGATTTATCTGTTGATTATTGTCCCTCCCTTCCACAGATACAATGTATGCAGTTATAATTTTTCTTTCTCAGTTAGATTTTCGAAAAAAAATTATATGTCGTTCCAAATTATTAACTTTTAGTGTAATACATGCTTTCCTTTAATGTAATTATTGTGTTATCAATATCATTTTCTCACATAAAATAATACTTTGTCATTTATTGCGAAATAAGGTATAACATTTAAAGTCAAGCGTTTAAATTAATAAAATATTGATTAGACTTTGAATTAGTGTAAATTTTGCAAATAACTAGTAAAACAAAAAAAAAGACGTTTTTATTGACGTGTAATAATATAGGACTCATTTCTTACCCGTTTTAAAAGTCCATCCTTAAATGTGAAAATCAACGAATTCTATTTCACCAATAGAAGATATTCCTCGATAATAACAGAGACGAGGTATATAATAAATGTACAGAGTATTATTTTATTCCTTCATTGATGATCACCACGTTCAATTCAATAAATAATTCTCGAAATAGGTCTGGCAACAATCCATATTTTTTAATTTTAATTATCGTCACTAGTAGTGCTGCCGTGCGAAATCTACTTGAATCGGTACGACAGGATATGACACGAAAATGATAATGCAATCCAAAGGACCGCAAAATCGTGGCCGAAAAAATACATTGTATATTAATCTATTCATATACCTCGTGTATGCTATAGACAAGGTATATGTTAACATTCTTATTCAATGATGTCAAGTAAGATATCTTACGTATTGTCGGTACATATTTTAGTTCTAGTTCCATCCGATAGATAATAACACGTAGTATATTCTTGTAGCGACATCTATTCAATCTTGTAAAAAGTTCAGTCTTATAGAAAGTTATGGAAATACAATAAATTATTGGTTACCATGTTACAAACAAATTGCCGAGAATATATATAATAATAAATAAGAAATTAATAAACAGTCGTTAGTCGTCAGTCATAATTCATCCATTAAGTTTCTGTATAATGTAAACGTTACAATAAATTATAAAATTTTCCTTTTTAGTATGGTGACTTTATTATTTATCGATCATCGTACCTACATTTTTGTCACATTTTTTAATACATTTATAATAGTTCTCTCACTAGTTCTCGCGCATAGATGGCTACGATTAACAAGCGATAAAGATAAACATATATCATATACCAAACAAAGAATAGTACGTAACAAAGACAGATATACGTGACATAAAAGACAAGAAAAGCAATAGCATGAAACAAGGACAGAGACGACAATTAGTTCCTGAGTTCTACCGCTACGCAACGCTAGTATTTCAATGCTCATAAATCGATCAAATTTCCACTTCGAAAAGAAACTAATGGGACTAATTTATAAAGTTTTATGATTGTATTCGTGATATTAGACCCTCAGCATTCTTCTGGTATTTCATTTAATTTACAAAATGCTTGTATAAAGATTTAAAAATTCTATTCAATAGAACGAATAGCTCCTGGTTACAATTAAGATATATAATAAACTTTATGTTTCTAAGTGATTAATTCACATTCAATTCATTTAATTCATATCTATCCTTAAGTTTGATCCAAGTTTTCAACGTAGCTTACGAGAAATTAAACATTATTTGAACTAATGGTTCAATCTATTCAATAGAACATATTAAATGAATAATGAAATATTACTGCTTTCATGTTAATGATAAATAAAGGCATTTTCAGTTTAATGATATATATTTTTATAATTATATATTTAAATAAATTTTGATTAAAAAGTTAATGACTCGTTATATTGTAATAGAAAATAATTTAGAATAGACTAAATCTCCTACGATAATTTGTGTATTGTCAAATCGTCAAAATACAAAATGCAGTGTTTTATATTTAGGTATATTATGCAACATACGTGTATTCAACGAATTAAAATTTTTTCATAGTTGATTTTGAGCGCTCTAGACGATTGTGTGAGAACTACAGAATGAAACACATTTAAAATTACTGAAATTTCGAAATTATACTTCTTAATGATATACATATATTTTAAAATCTATACAATCATTTTTTAGTTGCCATACTTCTATACCTTTACACCTTCCCCAAATTTATTTCGAAACACAGGTGAAATATTAATACTTAAAAATTATGGTGAGATTGTCACGCTTAACTGATTACTACGTAAAACATCAAATGCATGTGATTATAAAAATATAACGCTATAAAAAAACGAAAATATCAAAATTAATATCTAATTTTTATAATTGCGTTCTGATATGTGCTTTTAAATAAATAACCATTACCATCTCGTGTTACATAAAGTCTAGTAAAGTAGAAGTTCTATGTAATGATCAAGAACATGACAAAGAACAGATTTGTATTTATTAAAAAAAAAAAAAAAAAAAAAAAAAATAGCTGATCCTACTGAAAATATTAAGCATCATTATAGTGGCATTTTTTTTATTTTATTAGTAAGTATTATTAAACTCTTTACATATTTTTGTCGTTATAATGAATAACTGATAGAACTCTTAACTTATACATCCACTCATTCAAACACGCGTGATGGACCATTCCGTAATTACGTACTCAGTACTCACAAATATGTCACATGATCCTTGACAACTTATAAGATTAATGCCATCATTCAACACCTTACAAAATGTATTGTTTTAACTTCTCTTCAAGTTAAATGAAATTCTATAGAGGAAACTTGTTCTTGCAATCAATTACTTTCTGATATAAAATTGTGTTATCGTACCGTAATGATGAATATAAGTATTAAATTACTCCTATTTATATAGTGCATCAACACAAAAAGAAACATATATGTCCCCAAACATCTCGAGCATTTAAAAAATTCTTATTACAGAATTCTTATATTTAAAAATTTGAATGAAAAATTTGTAGAGCACACACAATTAAATGTTATACTATATGTAGTTTTTACAATGGTCTAATTCATTCTTTTAATA